CAGGTACCGCCCCCTGCTCCGATTGGCTGCGGCTGCCGGCCCGGCCCGCGCGGATTGGATGTGAGCGCCTGTGCTGCTCTGCGATTGGCTCTGGGCGGAGGGGCGGGAACGGCCACGGGATTGGCCCGAGGCCGTGGATCCCTCGCTTTGATTGGTGGGAGAAAGTGGATCCCTCATTGGGATTGGTGGGGCAGTGGATCCTCTCTGCTGTGATTGGTCAGAAGCAGCTGCACCCCACTGGGACTGGGGGAGGCAGTCTCTGCTGGGATTGGTGGGAAATGGATCTCATTGGCTGGGATTGGTGGGAGAAGGCGTGCTGCACTGGTATCAGTGGGAAGGGTGATGGTGGGCAGGGCCATGGCACTAATTAGCCCGGAGCTAATGAGAGCCCCTCGTTTTCCTGGCCCGCAGGGTGTCCCCGCAGCCTCCCTGCGTCCCCCTCAGTGCCACGGCCAGAGGGGCCGCGTCTGCTGCCCAGCAGCGCCCGCTCCTCCGACTGCCTGCACCGCGCTCCCGGTGGCCGCATCCTGCTGCTGCTCTGCAACGCTGCGGGCACGGGGCCACAGCTCGCCAGGTACCTGTCACCTGCCTGTCACCCGCCTGTCCCCCTGTCCTGCCCTGCCCTGTCCTACCCACTCACCGCCCGTGTGACACCCAGCCACATGTCCCTGCTCTCTGTCCCCAGGTTCGGGCCACCGCTGCTGCTGCGGGAGGAGCGCGGCGTCTCCTGGGAGCAGCTCCAGCAGAACATCCTGGCCCAGCTGAGGGGGGTCCTGCGGGGAGAGGTCCGGCCACAGGTGAGCCCAGGGAACAGCCCTGTCCCCTCAAAGCTATCAGGTTTTGGGGGCAGTTTTTGCACCGTGTCCCTAAGCCTGGCTTGCCCAGGTGCTGCTGCTGGGCAGGGGATCCCTGTCCTCTGGTGACCCCACAGTCCCTGCTCCCCTGACAGGGCGCGGGAGCCCTTTTCCGGATCCGCCTGGCCGGGGGCTCGGCCCCCTACACCTACCTGTCCCCTCAGGATCCCCATCCTCTCTGCCACCCTGCCATTGACAGGTAAGGGGCTGCAGGGACAGGACTGTCCCCAGGATGTCCCCTAACCCCTGCAGGCAGCCAGTGGCATCACCATGAGTGGGCAGTGTTGCTGTGCATGGCTGTGTTGTCACCCTGGATGGCCACAGGTGACACCTTGGGTAGCCACAGTGGTGGTCACTCTGCTCTCCCAAGAACTGGGTCCCTGGCCCAGCGTTCCCACTGGTGGTTGTGATGGCTGCTCCTGCCTGTCCTCACGGGGACAGGGGTTCTGGAGACATCTCACCCTGTCCTCCCCACAGGGCCCTGCAGCTGAGCAGGGCTGGGGGCCCTCCCCACGTGAGACTGACGGTGGAGTGGGACATGAGCACTAAAGAGCGGTGAGTGCCTGTGCCCGGACTGGGGGGACACTCCAGCACTCGGGTCACCCTCGCTGGTGACGCGTTCCCCCCAGGCTGTTCGGAAGCATCCAAGAGGAGGTGGTGCAGGACGCGGCGAGCGTGCGGCAGCAGCAGCAGGCGCACGGGCAGCAGCACAGCTGCACGCTGGACGAGTGCTTCCAGCTCTACACCAAGGAAGAGCAGGTATGGCCCCCCCCGGGCACCGCCCAGCCCCGGCACAGGGGCAGTTGGTGCCTGCGGTGCTGGGGGTGGCTGTGCAGGTGGCGGGGCGTGACAGGGAGGGAGGTGGCCATGACGTGGTGTCCCCAGCTGGCCCCGGACGATGCCTGGCGCTGCCCGCACTGCAAGGTGCCCCAGCAGGGCACGGTGAAGCTCAGCCTGTGGACGCTGCCAGACATCCTCATCATCCACCTGAAGCGCTTCCGGCAGGTGGCCGAGCTGCGGCACAAGCTCACCACGCTGGTGAGGTTCCCGCTGCGGGGGCTGGACATGGCCC